AATGAGTTGATGAACTAGTTTTTTAAGTTTTTACAGGAGGTAATTGACCCCGGAGCGAGGCTCTTATACCAATCCATCCCAGTCTTCCTTAGAGTCATGGGAACAACTGGCATTTGATCGGTCCCCTGATGTTATGATAATGCAGCATTGCCTCGAACCTGTCGATGTGGTCGACTGGATCGACAATGCCGTCGTACTCCTTCAGGTGGAGATGTTTCTCCATACCCGAGGGAATGGGTGCCTCCATAATAGCCTGGGATAGGGGGCCGCGGGGGTCTTCTTCGTCTCTACTGTCTAGAGATCGAGAAGGAGACCTGTTGTAATGGCGGTCGTGATGGTGGTCTTGGTTGCGGGGAGGATTCCTCGGTCGGTGTCGTTGTTCGTCATTCCCCCTATTTCTGTTTCCAGGAGATCTTCTCTCCTGACGTGTGGGAATGTGATCACGTCTCCCTGTATCAACGGGATGATCCCTCTCCAACGTGAGGCACCGCCCGGTTCGTCGAGGAGAGGGGCTTCGAGAGGCATCCCGTCTGCGTCTCTGCGGGGGAGATTGGGGACAGTCCTCTACCTGGAGGGTAGGAGGAGAATCATGCCTCCTGTGTCTTCTGGGGGCTTTTCGAGAATCTTTGAGCACCCTTAATCTCTCACCTTGTGAGAAGATCAAGTACTTTGTTTGATTTATAGTCGCGAACAGTGCCCTGGTCGTGGCATCAGCATCCGCAGGAACTGGGGCCTCCTGGAACTGGTTCAATTGGTAGTTCTGAGGGGGACGACGATCATCCTCGAGTCGTATGGACCGTGATAACGATGAGGCAGTCAGTCTGTCTCTATATCTTGAAGGTCTGGGCATGTCAACAACGTGGTCGTTGGTGTTGTTGCCAGTATTGTTATTGTTACCGGTTTTGAGACCAGCGTTGTTGATGCCGGTGTTGTGGTCGGCGAATTTGTTGTAGACGTCGCCAGGATAGACATTCAGGTTGTTTACTGCCGTGAAATCAACCATGACAGTCAAAAAGGAGTTGGATTAGTTTTTGTCTTGGATAAATGGAAGACGGGGAAGCTGTGTTTCCCACAGACGGCGCCACTGATTGTACCTGACTAGAATGGGCTGTTACAACTTATGTCGAGCAGAACTTGAGAGTGAGGTGGGGGGGGGGGGGAGGGGGTACCTACAAGACACTCCGATGCCAAAGTGAGATTCAGAATGACAAGCAAGTAAGAGTGAGAAATGTTCAATATCTGACCCTCTCAAAAGAGAGGGTATTTATAGCTCCCAACGCAGAACCAAGGTCCCCTTTGTTGGGCCACGTTGAGGCCCAATAATGGAGACTGCCAAATCTTACGTGTGTATGGAGTCCAGCAAGTAGATTCCCAATGGTCAACTGCTCCGTGAGAATATGGGTTAGACCTGTGATTTCTGGAAAACAGTTAAGATGACGGTGATGTGGGCACGTGGGCCACATTCCCCAAAAGATGTGTGGGGAGTTGCCTAACAGTCCTTAGCTTGGACTACTTGCTTTTGGACCTTATACAAGGGTGTTAGATTGGGCCTTCCAACCGGGGGACAAATGCAGACCCAATCCAAATATATATATATATATATATATATATATATATATATATATATATATATATATATATATATATATATATATATATATATATATATATATATATATATATATATATATATATATATATATATATATATATATATATATATATATATATATATATATATATATATATATATATATATATATATATATATATATATATATATATATATATATATATATATATATATATATATATATATATATATATATTTATTGTGGAAAGAAATACAAAGAGCATTTTTATATGCTACATTTTCATCGTCAATATGATAGTTTCTTGTATAAATACCACCATTTGTAAATCATTTAGGAACTACCAATAAGAAAACAGTTGTACACATATATGCTTCATTGATAACTCTTTATCCATGATCCATGAGATGTGATCATATCTCTATCTACATAATAGTCTCAATGCTTTAATATTATCCCACTTCACAGTAAAGCTCGACTACGAATGCTTTAAGAATAGTTTTCTTATGTTTAATGGGATCTCATGATTAAGTCAAACTTAACATTTTACTAAATTGACTAGCTATTCTAGGAACTTTATTATTTTGGAGAAACAAACATAATAAAGAAATGCCTTTTATTATTAATAAATAATTTGATACAAGTACAAAAAGTATTGGCCTCTAGGGCCTGCACCAATAATCTCCCACTAGCACTAGAGCCAATCAGGCATACCCCTAATACCCATAGATCTAGTATAGTCATTTTGTCTATGCTGCGCAAGAGGCTTTGTTAGTGGATCAACAACATTGTCAAGTGTAGGTACTCTTCATATCTTCACATCTTCCATATCTATTATCTCTCAAATGAGGTAATATCGCCTAAGTATATGTTTGGATCGTTGGTGAGATCTAGGTTTCTTAGCTTGTGCGATAGCACGATTATTATCACAATAGAGATCAATTAGATCCATAATGCTAGGGACTATACCAAGTTCACTAATGAACTTCTTGATCCAAACAGCTTTCTTTGTTGCATTTAAGGCAACAATGTACTCGGCCTCGATTGTAGAATCAATAATTGTATATTCCTTCGAACTTTTCCAGCTCACAGTGCCATGATTTAAGCGAAACACATAACCAGATTGCGATTTAAAGTCATCTTTATTTATTTGGAAGATAGCATTGGTGTATCTAATTACAGCGAGCTCTTCCTGACCTCCATATACCAGGAATGAGTCCTTAGTCCTTCTGAAGTACTTAAGGATATTCTTGACATCTATCCAATGAGCATCACCAGGATCAAATTGGTACCCACTCGTTGCACTTAAAGCATATGAGGCACCTGGTCGAGTATATAACATGGCATACATGATAGATCCTATTGCAGATGCATGTGGAACCTTATTCATGCGATCCTTTTCTTCCTTAGTTGAAGGGGATTATATTTTTTATAGACACATCTCATGTTTCATAGGTACGAATCCTTTCTTGGAATCATGCATATTAAAGTGACTCAGCACTTTATCTATGTATGTACTCTGACTTAGGACAAGTAGGAAAGGAAAATATAGGAAAAAATAGAAGATATGGAAGTCATCTAATGGGTAACCAAAAGAATTTTGTGGTCGGTAAAAAATTGGCTACACACGGAGCAAGTGATCAGAAAAATAGCAAGTGAACTATTTTGCCTATGCGGTAATAATGGAAAAATTATTCGAATATCGATCTCAAGGACCGCGTAGAAATATCAAGTTGAATTGTGATTCAATTAAACAAAAACTTAACTTTGGGTTTGGTTTGGAGTATATCCTTGATAATAATTAAAATAAGAAGAATGTAAAATTTGGCTTTTTCACAAATATGAGGAACATGTTAGGGTAAGGAGTGTGATTTTCCCTATAACAACCCTGAATCCTGATTTCTTCAGCAAGTTCATAACATTCGATTACTGAATCTTTAGTTTGTTTTCTCCTAAGTTCTTAGTGGGAAAACATTTGGTCATTCATCCTAATACCTAGGTTCTTAGAGAATTATGATGAAACCAAGCCTTTATTTTATCAAGATTTAACCGGTAACTATAGGGTATCTCTAGTCCTAGGTGATATCTACTATAGTTTAATCGTATAAAAACCTTAACAATTGCAATTCAGCTAATTGTTAACCGTAAAATAATCCTTATTTGTCTGATAAAGAAAGCATTAAAAACCTTGTATAATTGAATTGAATAGTAAAACCCTTGGAATGGATGAAATTAGAAATTCAAAGTCATTACACGATCAAATCAGGGACACCCCCTAGCATTGAGGGATTTAGCTACTCATATTATTCAAAAGAATTTCAAATACATTAAAGATAAACATTACAGGTAATTAAGGAATTTTGATATTCAATTGCGTCAGCTCATGAAAGATCTTTGTTCTTCAATAATCTCATACATTACTCTCCTCAAACTTCATAATTCTTTGTGTGCAAAAAAGGTTCCATTCTAGGTTATAGAAACGGTCTCAAATAGTTAAAATCCCTTGATCTCTGTTCGAAAATGTCAAAAACACCCTTGTGGGTCACACTTGGTGGATAAAACACAAAAACATGGAAAATCAGCATCTCAGCCAACACGGCCCGTGTCAACTGACACGGGTGGTCGTGTTGGAACTCCTGTAGACTCACACAAAATTTCATCTTTAATCTACTGACACGGCCCATATCAGATGACACGGATGGTCGTGTCAGTCTCCTGAGTTTCAATAAAATATAGGAAATGTCAGACTTTATTAGGTGTTCCAAATTTCTTTGTAATATAATACTCTAGTATAATACTATATGATAAATTTCTAAAAAAATATAAAAGGGCTTTATAATATTGAAGTAGCAAAAAATTAATACAAGATGTTAACTTGTCTATTTCTTCACGTGACAAATGACGATACATCTATACAATCATCCTTTAATTTTTTTATATTAATATTCAAACTTATGCACTATTTAAAATATAAGTACTTTAAGTATTGTTTTTAACTAAAAATCTTACAATTTTGTTTACGATAGTATATTTTATGATTTTGTTATCCAGTCTCGATCTTATAAAATTAATTGTGTAAGATCTTTCGATCTTAATTACGATTTTATATTTTGCGATTTTAATATCTTCTTTCAATTTGATGTAAGATCTCAATTTTGACAATATTATTCTAGATAATTATATATATTAAATGCAACCAAATATTTATTAGATACATGATATGATTTTTGTTTCGTATATCAGATAAAAAAATTATCCATTCTCAAATCAAGTAGCATTTCAATCGGTTTATTAGTCTGAGTGGATCTCAGATAACCCAATCTAAATATAGCCCTAACTCAAGCTACTTAAAGTATCTTAAAGTCAGTGTGGCCTTAGTAGTGGAATGAGTGAACCCCTTAGATGGAGTCACATTACTTCATTGATAGACCCCATAAGCTTTCCTCCGACAAATACTGCAAGGACAGGTGCATTACAACCCAACTTTTTTAAAGCTTTCTCCATTTCTTTGCCTTCAGGACCTTTGTCAATTTCATGAATCCCAGAGAACACTCCAATTTCTTGAAACAAGATGTTCACTGCGTCGCACATGCAACAAGAGCTCTTTGTGAAAATCACCACACTCTTTTTTATAGCCAACCTCATCACTTTTTCCATCTTAATTAATATAACTGATTCTAAATAAAATGTACAAAAACTTATTTTCTAACGACAAGTAAATATATAGAACACTATATATTTATGTGAAGCTTGAGGTTATTAAAAAGAGCAAGTAGGTAAGCTATTTATAGGGAGGTACGAACTTAGCTAAGTGTATGAATTGTTTATTCTTTGAACAAATTAAAGCACATTCAAAAGAAGTATTTCTTTTTAGATGTCCAATAACTTGGAGATATAATTAAGATACTTCTATTTTACTTTAGACTGAACAAATTGAAAGAGATTATTTACATTATATTATAAAACTATAGCCATATATTTAATTTTAGTCATTTCTTTTTATCTTTTAATCAAATTTCTGTATAATAATTTTTTCTCATTTTTATTTGACAATCACTTCCTAATTTTTTGTCAAAATTCAGTTCATGATGTTGCTATTGTTAGAACTACATTAACACATACACACGTGTATGGTACATATCATTGTTAATCCTGTCTTTTTTGAAAATATGAGTGAAAATGTGAAAGACATTAGTCAGGATTTAATAGATCGTTTTAGTGGAGGTGGTGAGAAGGGTGATTCCAAAACCTTTTAAGTGAAGTGGTGTGATGGTTGTAAGAAAAAAAGTGGTTTGGGTGTTAGAGACCTTTGATTGTTTAATATGGCTAAGTTGGTCAAGTGATGGTGAAGACTGGTCTTAGATGCCTTTAGTCTCTGGTCTATTATTCTTATATATAGATATGGAGTCACAATTACTTCTTATTTGAATGGTGTCAGATCTTCGGGTTTGTGCTTTATTTTCCCTTGTTGAAAAAAAGTGTCTCTTCTTGGATCTAGAGAAAAATCCTCTAATTGGTTTGAGAAAGGGTTGAGTAAGAATGTAAAGTCTAGTCCTTGGATCTAATTTTGGACGAGATCGAAATGTCCCTTTTAAGATTAACTTTCAAATAATTTTCACCTTCTCTCAATCTCAAGATGGTAGTGTGGAAGAGATGGGTAGGTGTGAAAATGAAATGATTTCTTAGAATATGAGAAGGAGGAAACCATTTTTTCATGAAAAATCTTTGATCTCTGATTTATTTTTTATCCTTCAATATGTTCAGTTTAATGAAGAAAGTGATAGATTGATTTGGAGACATAGTAGAGATGTTTTATCACTGTGGCATATACTTATCAAATCGAATTGGACCTTAGTACATCTTCTATTATACACTATAATGAAGGAAACTTGTGATACAAGGCACAACGGAAAACAAAATTTTCCCTTTAGCTGACCCTTATGAATGATGCATGATTAGTGATAGAATGGTTACCTCTTGTGATGATTAACAACTTTGATGCAGATCAGGATGAATGATCACGAGCGTTGAATAAAGAACAACGCCTCTACTCAGTCCAAACGAACATAGTGACTTCAATCTCAGTGCTAGCTGCTAGGATTGAAGACTTTGAGTGAGAGAGAAAGGGAGAATTATAACAAGGGTTTCAAAAAAACCAAATTTCATCAACTAAGAAAGCTTATGCACAAGGGTTGTATTTATAGAACCACTTATGTGAGTTGCAAGCTAAAAAGCCCAACTTAAATGCATCATATAATAATAATATATTATTATAATAATAATTATTATAATAAATATATTTATTATTATTATTATATTTAATAACTATTATTATAATAATAATAATATTAAATATTATTATATTATACGATGTTCCATATTTCACTTAAGTACACCGTACCTTACGGTGTTCCATAATTCTCTTAAGTACGCAATATCTTACAATGTTTATTATTTATTCTATCTCTCATGAATCTACCTTTATGTGTGTGACCCTATAGATTCTCCTAATGTTGCCAATTATATTAAATCATACATTTATATAAAAAAGACTGGTATCTAGCAACACATCACTGCTATCCAAGTCACAAAAATGTCACGTGATCTGACAAAACCTTTTCGTGATAATATTATTGTGTACAATGACCCTTTTGACCTCATGTCTATATTGAACAAAATGCATAGACCGTGTCATCCTTGTTCAATTTAATATTGGACCCTATGAAATTTATCCTGTTACACATGATAGTCAAATTCAATCTAGGTCACTCTTGTCCCTCAACATGCATTGTGGAGTATCCATCAATTGTCTTTATGGTCATTCAGTTATGGGAAATGTTTGATCAGCAATAAAGTACTCGATTCCACATATAGGGCCCATAGTGACTTCAGGTCGAAGGGTGGTATACACTATTATCACCATGAGAATAACTTATGACACTTTGCATAACATTCTATGTAGTACTCTCATAGTGGTTACATCGAGTATAAATATTACTCCTAATATTCATACCTATGTTAAGACTTGATAACTCTTTATCCATGATCCATGAGATGTGATCATAAGTCTATCTACATAATAGTCTCAATGCTTTAATATTATCCCACTTCATAATAAAGCTCGACTACAGATGCTTTAAGAATAATGTTCTTATGTTTAATGAGATCTCATGATTAAGTCAAACTTAACATTTTATTAAATGGACTAGCTATTCTAGGAAATTTATTATTTTGGAAACACAAACATAATAAATAAATGCTTTTTATTATTAATAAATAATTTGATACAAGTACCAAAAGTATTGGCCTCTAAGACTTGCAAAATTAATCTCCCACTAGCACTAGAGCCAATTAGGCATACCTCTAATACCCATAGGTCTAGTATAACCATCATGTCTCTACTGCGCAAGAGGCTTTGTTAGTGGATCAACAACATTGTCAAGTCTATGTACTCTTTATATCTTCATATCTCCCATATCTACCATCTCTCAAATAAGGTGATATTGCCTAAGTATGTGTTTGGATCGTTGGTGAGATCTTGGTTCCTTAGCTTGTGAGATAGCATCATTATTATCACAGTAGAGATCAATGGAATCCATAATGCTAGGGGATATACCGAGTTCACTAATAAACTTCTTGATCCAAACAACTCCCTTTGCTGTATTTGAGGCAACAATGTACTCGGCCTCGGTTGTATAATCAATAACTATATATTGCTTCGAACTTTTCTAGCTTACAGTGCCACAATTTAAGTGAAACATATAACCAAATTGTGATCTAAAGTCATCATTATCTATCTAGAAGATAACATTGGTTTATCTAACTACAGTGAGCTCTTCCTGACCTCCATATATTAAGAATGAGTCCTTAATCCTTCTGAAGTACTTAAGCATATGCTTGACAGCTATCCGATGAACATCACCAAGATCAGATTGGTATCCACTCGTTGCACTTAAAGCATACGAGGCATATGATCGAGTATATAACATGGAATACATGATAGATCCTATTACAGATGCATATGGAACCTTATTCATGCGATCCCTTTCTTCCTTAGTTGAAGGGGATTATGTTTTTGATCGACACAGGTCATGTTGCATAGGTACAAATCCTTTCTTGGAATCATGCATATTAAAGCATCTCAACACTTTATCTATGTATGTACTTTGACTTAGGACAAGTAGAAAAGGAAAAAATAGGAAAAATAGAAGATGTGGAAGACATCTAATGGGTAACCAAAAGAATTCTGTGGTCGGTAAAAAATTGGCTACACGTGGAGCAAGTGATTGGAAAAATAGCAAGTGTACTATTTTCCCTATGCAGTAATAATGGAAAAATTCTCTGAATGTCGATCTCAAGGACTGCGTAGAAATATCGAGTTGAATTGTGATTCAATTAAACAAAAACTTAACTTGGGGTTTGGTTTGGAGTATATCCTTGACAATCATTAAAATAAGCAGAATGTAAAATTTGGCTTTTTCACAAATATGAGGAACATGTTAGGGTAAGGAGTGTGATTTTCCATATAACAACCCTGAATCGTGATTTCTTCAACAAGTTCATAACATTCAATTACCGGATCTTTAGTTTGTTTTCTCCTAAGTCCTTAGTGGGAAAACATTTGATCATTCATCGTAATACCTAGGTCCTAAGAGAATTATGATGAAATGAAGCCTTTACTTTATCAATATTTAGTCGGTAACTATAGGGTATCCCTAGTCCTAGGTGATATCTACTATAGTTTAATCGTATAAAAAGCTTAACAATTACGGTCCAGCTAATTTCTAACCGTAAAACAGTCATTATTTGTTTGATAATGAAAGCATTAAAAACCTTGTATAATTTAATTGAATAGTAAAAACCATGGAATTGATGAAATTAGAAGTTCAAAGTCATTACACGATCAAAGCAGGGACACACCCTAGCATTGGGGGGGTTTAGATACTCATATTGTTCAAAAGAATTTCAAATACATTAAAGATAGACATTACAAATAATTGAGGAGTTTTGGTCTTCAATTGCATCGGCTCATGAAAGATCTATGTTTTTCAATAATCTCATACATTACTCTCTTCAATCTTCAGAATTCTTTGTGTGCAAAAACGGTCCCATTCTAGGTTGTAGAAAATGTCTCAAATAGTGAAAATCCCTTGGTCTCTAATAAAAAATGTTAAAAACGCCCTTCCGGGTCACACTTGGTGGATAAAACACAAAAACATGGAAAAATCAACATCTCAGCCAACACGGCCGTGTCAGCTAACACGGGTGGCCGTGTTGGCCCTCCTATAGGCTCACACAAAATTGCATATTTAATCTACTGACACGGCCCATGTCAGGTGACACGGGTGGTCGTGTTAGTCCATTGAGTTTCACTCGTTTCAAACGCTCTCTTCCTGACACGGCCCGTGTCAGGTGACACGGGTGATCGTTTCAGGCCTCCTGATGCTTCATTTTTCTTTCGTGAAACTTCTGATTTCTTTAAATTCCATGCAACGAGTACCTTGAATCATCCACTTGAACCTGAAATAGTTACAATACCAACTAAAGCATAACATGCACAAATACTTGAAATAAAACTAAAAAATAAAAAATTACCGAAGAAACTTAATAAACATAAAAATGACTCAAATGGTAACAAAATACGACACAAAGCAATG